TTCTTACAGTATTAGATGGGAAGAAGATAAAGAGCAAATTTTCTAGAAAGAACAGAGTAAAAGATGCTGGAGAACAAATAACAAAAGGGGAACTCAAAGCAACTACTTAAGACTTTTGTTAAATTAATAACTTAGAAAGAACATAAAAACGTGATTTGATGCTTTTGATCACTGTAGATAACATTCGAAAAATGTACTAGAATGGCATAAGTCAAATGCAGAAATCTCTTTTTCAATATACGTACAAAGGAAATAGAATACCTGGTTTCTACTCTCATCCTCAAATGTTGTGTGGCCTCAGGATAAAACTCAATAAATCTGTATTGATTTGTAAAATTAAGATAATTATTCTTACCAACCTCAAAGTAATTTTGTGAAGATAAATGATATCACTTGAAAGGGCTTCATGAACTATTAAGTATTTTGCAATTTGGGGGAACGTAGTTTATTTTTAAGGATGTAAGGAGATTCTTGATTGATAGAAGTTACTCTTTTCTAAATAATGCAGAGATAAGTTACGACCCAAACATCTAGCTGCCATCCAAATTACTTGGACAAAAATCTGTCAAATATTTTATGACCCTTATTGCTCAGAAAAGTTTTAGAATATGAGTAGTCTCTTTAGAGCCTGAATAAATGTCATTATGTAAAAGAAACTGAAAACAGAACAAAGTGGTCTTAAGGGTATCTTAAAAATGTAAGCTAACCCCACTAATTCCATTTTTGAGAGGAAAAAAAACACCTCTACCTCTCTATCTATCTACATGGCACCCCAAAAAGTTCCATATGTGGTTGAAGAACCCTTCTGTAAAAGGTGAGAAGAATCAAGTCTCCCTGTGCTGACCCCCATAATCTTAACTATAATGGGTGGTTGGATCCAGTTGATCTCCTATTCCTCTCTCTGGGGTCTTTAGGAAGACATTCAAACAATTTCTGAGAAGAAGTGCACATGAAAATTTGCTGTACACCATCTCCTTGGCTGTGAACTCAAGCATGTAGGTAAAATAAACTATAGAAAATATGCCCTCTGCTCCTGATTTAAATTTGAATGCCCCCTCACAAGTGAAATGGTAAAAATCCAGCCTGGTTACATTCAGAGCTGCTTCTTTTCTCATCTTGGTTCTGGGTCACCTTCTGTTGGAATTTCTTCCATACCTAGGCCATCAGCATGGTCCGAATAATCAGAATGATCACAGTCCTTCCATCAGAGCTTTAGTGCTGTCCTCCCTAATCTGGGAGTTGTAAGCCATCTCTCTCCACCTACACAGCATACAGATCATGGTTAATAAGAGCAAGCCCCAGGCCACTCAAGCTCCATTCGCACCACAGACTCAGGACACCCTCATTTCCCTTTTCTCATGTCTTTGGAAGGTCTACATTGCTTCTGACTCAAGCTTTGCTTTCCATTTTTGGACCTAATTCTATCCATTGGGCTTGAAGATTCATCTTATTTTCTTCACATTATCCCTTGGTTCATCCGAAGATCTTTGGTTCGTAATTATCATGTTTTTTTGTTTTGTTTTGTTTTTTTTCTGCCATCCCCCCTAAATCCCTGTAAACAAGTGAATAAATATTTCAAAACTAACACAATGATAATAACAACAACAGCAGTAGCAGTAAAAATACTAATAAACCTGAGTTTGACTTGGATCTCAATTTCAGTGGAGACCTTAACTGTTTCTGTCTGCCATGATCTTGATCTATTGTAACCCACTCTCCACCACCACGGTAGAGACCATCTTACAAAGAGAGAAGCTCAGAGCAGTGAAGCTCTAACTCGGTGAATACCTCTTAGAAAACTAGTCATTAATTTAGTCTCATTGTCAACAACAGCCCTTCCAGATAAACAGAAATGTAGACACTATCTGCAACAAATCCCCAGTCTTAAACTATATATATATATATATATATATATATATATTTTTTGAGACAGAGTTTCCCTCTTGTCACCCAGCTGGAGTGCAATGGCATGATCTCAGCTCACTGCAACTTCTGCCTCTGGAGTTCAAGCAGTTCTCCTGAGCCTCCCGAGTAGCTGGGATTACAGACGCGAGCCATCATGCCCAGCTAATTTTTGTATTTTTAGTAGAGACAGGGTTTCACCAAGTTGGCCAGGCTGGTCTTGAACTGCTGACCTTAGGTGACCCATTCGCCTCGGCCTCCCAAAGTGCTGGGATTACAGGCATGAGCCACTGCACCCAGTCAATAATTTTTTTAAGTGCAAACTTTAAATAGAGTCACTGTGTAATTATTACATAGTTCTTCTGGCACTGTTTGTATTAGCTAAGGTACAATGTAGAAGACAAAAGAGGATCACACTCTTTTGATCCATTTCCTGTAAAATACTGGCTATGGTTCTATAGTTGTCCCAAATTAAGAATTTTCTGTCTTCTCTTTCTGCTATGCTGAATGGCTTAGAATTATAAAGAAATCTTGGATTTTTTGAGGGACTCTTAATTTTCTTCTTTTACACCATATGTCTCATCCAGGACTCTACACTCCTCACTTTATTCTCATACAAATTGTATGAGATAAATATGATAATTCCTATTTTAAGAGATGTTAAGTTGTTTATCCAAGGTCACATAGCTGGCAAAGGGAAAAGCAGAATTAAACCCTGGTCCTTCTACTATCAGGGTCTCTGTTTTTGTCATTATACCATTCCACTTTGGATGAGAAGAGACATTCTGCCTCGGTAAAAGGGTTTCCCATGAGAAAAGAAATGCACTATCAAGTCATGAAAAGTCCTGGTGGAATCTTAAATGCATATTACTAGGTGAAAGCAGCCAGCCAGAAAGGGCTACATGCTGTGTGAGTCCAATGACATGACATTCTGTAGAAGGCAAAATTATAAAGACAGCGAAAAGATCAGTGATTGCCAGGGGTTGGGGGAGGAAGCGATGATTAGAAGGAGCACAGGGGAATTTTAGGTCAGTGAAACTATTATGATACTCTAATGGTAGATTCATGTCATGCATTTATCAAAACCCATAAAATGTACACCACCAAGAATAAACATTAATGTAAACTATGGACTTTGGATGATGACAATGTGTCAGTGTAGGTTCACTGATTGTAATAAATGTACCATTCTAGTGTAGGGTATTGATAGTGGGGGATGTTGTGTTTGTGTCAGGGCAGGAAATATACAGGAATTATCTGTACTTTCTGCTCCATTTTTCTGTGAACCTAAAACTGCTCTAAAAAAAATAAGGTCTTTTTGTAAGAGAAAACAAAGGATTTCTCCACTACACAGACATCATGGACTTTATGTTACTTTGCACCCTGCTTCAGTTTCTGTCTGTAGCACCCCAAATATTAGTAAGAGAATAACTAGACAAAGTAAGCCAATAGAAGGAGATGCTAGAAAAAAAGGAATGGGTGTCCTAGGGCATTCTGCTTATCTCTATTTGACTTTCTTTCTCCTTTCTCTTATTTTGTTGACCTTGTGTTCTTTTGTTTCTTTTATCCCCACTCTAAAACCTCTTTATTCACAAATGAAAAAGAAAAAACAAAAACTAAACTTTTTCACAGTACTTTTAGACTTGACTGTTCCGGCTACCATTGCTGCCAAAACTTAGTGGTATAAAGCAACCATTTATTACGCTCATAGGTTCTGTGGGTTAATAACTCAGACAGGCACAGAGGGGATGGCTTGCCTCTGTTGTCTGATGTCAGAAACCTGAGCTGGGAAGATACCAAGACTGAACTGACTCAACAGTGAGGGTCTAGAATCATTTGAAGGAAACTTGTCCGACCCACAGCCCACAGACCATATGCAGCCCAGGACAGCTTTGAATGCGTCCTAAAACAAATCTGTAAACTTTCTTAAAACATTGTGACATTTTTTGGCATTTTTTTTAGCTCACCAGCTATCGGTAGTATTAGTGTATTTTATGTGTGACCCAAGACAGTTCCTCTTCTTCCAATGTGGCCCAGGGAAGCCAAAAGACATCCCTGATTTAAAGGCATTTTATTTCCCACACCTGGGTTTGGATACTGGCTATCAGCTGATACGTTAGTTGTATTGTTACTGAAACACTTATCCATTGGTCCTTCGTTGATCTCTCCATGCGGGCTAGCTTGGGCTTCCTTGTGGCATCATGGCTGTGTTCCAAGAGAGAACATCCCAAAAGAGCAAGAGAAAAGCGCATGATACTTTTATAATCTACCCTTAGAATCCCCATAGTGTCATTTATAGCATAGTCAAAGCTGCCAGAAAGGTCTACCCATGTTCAAGAGGAAGAGACATACTCAAACCATTGTATGGGAGAAATGTTAAAGTCATATTGTAAAAACATGTAACATAGGAGATACTCTTGCTGCCATTTTGGAAAATATAATCTGCCACAGTAACTCTTATTATATCTTATTGTGTCTTACATAGCTAAGTATGTGTTGAATCTGAATATTTGGTTAGAGTGTTCCACATGTTTACCTCTGATTGTTTCGGATCGTAAACCACATTTGGCAGGGACAGCAATGTTGAGTTAATTTACATGACCTCCACCACAGTACCTTGTGCTTGATAACCGTAACATGTAATATTATTACTAGCGCTGCAATTGCTGGTAGATACATGCACTTGAGTGGTCATTATTTATATTTATATGCTATAACATTTTGTAGCATGTCACAGAAAATCTACACTAACCAAAAAGGCATATAGCATCTCCATTGTGTAAATGAACTCTATTACTCCAATTAGGTCTTGGTTATTTGAAAATAGTACATCATTTTTTTCTACCAAGTGAATAGATTCTTGTAAAGCAATAATTGAATCTTACAATGAGTGGTCGGGGAGGGAGGCAGCGGAATCACTACCTTAAAGGAACTATCATTTCTTCCATTTCTTTTTTCTTAGCAATTAGTTACTTTTAAAGGTTTAATAGATTATTACTAATAAAAGGTTTATTAGTAATCTGTGTGGGGCCTTGATCAATCAAGGATGTTTATCTCTTCTGAAAAGCTAACTAATGAAGACAATTGTCCCTTTTCAGTTGATTTCATAGGTGGCTTTGACTCTTATGGCTATCAAGGGCCTCAGAAGACATCTCATTTACAACTACAGCCTATGTACATGTAAGTATTTTACTTGGAAGGTGTTCTTCTGGGGGTACTAAAGACAATCAAGTAACTGTATCATGATAGAAAATCAATGGCATGCAGCTTTTGTTCAGTTACATACTTCCAGTATTTTTTCTATTAATATTGTTTTGACTGGTATAGTTTCAATAACATTTTTCCATGAATTTTTCTTATTTGACTTCTAAGAAATGTCTTTTCTAAAGTGACCTTTAGTCTTACATAAGTATCACCTACATGGCTCAAAAGCCTGTGTTAATTATCTACTACTTCTTTGAGTTGCCAAAAAGTTGTAGTTTTTGAAAATTATATAACAATGTAGGCAGTTATATGTAATTATGTATAAACCACATGTTCTGGTTTCAGTTTACAGTGGTTGTCCTGGCATAATTATTATTCTCAAAAGAGTTCTCATTTAGATGATAAATAATAGGTTCACCCAAGTTATATGTAGTGTTAAAAAAATAAAAAACTGAGTAATACACTTTCTCTATCATTTTTCTGATGTAAAAGTGAAAATGACTGGAACATTAACACTGAAACTTATCGAACCATTAACTCTAGCACTCAACAGAGCAGACATACAATCAGAGCCTGATTTTTATATCTGTGTTTAGGCAAATTCCCTTGGATAACAACTGATAACAAATTCTATATATCAGCATCAAGTGATATGCTGAATTGCAAGCGAAGATCAAAATAGAAAGTAAGATTCCAATTCATTTTAAAATGTGAACTTCTCTTTGAAGATATGTGTTTGTTGTCGTTGTCCTCCACCATTGAATCATTTTACCTTTTAATATCTTTAGTGTATAGGATAATAAATGGAGTTTGGGAGTAAGTACTGCTCCTCCAAAGAAATTAATCTTTAAACATCCCTCTTTTCAGCTTCTTTTTTAAAAAAGAATAATCTTGCACTGTGCCTGCCTTTTTCTTTGTGTCACTTGTAGTTCTCTGAAATCATTTGCTAATAGCACCCACAAAACAGACTTCAGCAGTTAAGAAGTCAACCAAAATTTTGCTTCATTCAAAGCATTGCGTCTATAAACAGTGTATTACACATTTCCTCTTTTACATCCCCACAAAACAACCACTGCCCTAATTCATGCAATGTATGACCTGTTAAGTTTTTCCGTCTCTTCCTTATTTCAGAACCTCCAATGTATCCTCCATATGGCTGCCAAATTAACTATCCTAAAGCACTGCGCTGATGATTTCACTTCCCTGCTTCAAAGCTATCAAGGAGTCCCTATTACCTACTGTTGAAACAGTATCTCTTATCTTCAACTCTTAATAACGTTTGAGTCCCAACCCTATGCAGATGATGCTGGATATATTAGGAAAATGTAGTAATGAATAAGAACTAGCCCTGTCCTCCTGAAGTTTATAATGTATTGAGAGCATAAACAGTCTGATAGCTCCCCTTAGCCACTTTTTTCTAGCCAAAGTAGAACTCTTGCCTTATCCAAATATATGTATTTTTCCAATTGTTCATGCTGTTCTCTAGACACCAAGCACCATCTTTTTTCCAAATTCCACTCTTTGAAACCCCACTATCCTTTGAATTTTCTTAAGATATATTCCTTTATGAAGCATTTCTTAATCTTTTCTCCTCTAATATTTCTCTTTTATTTCTTTCACCATGTACTACAGTTGTTTGCTATGCATGCCAAACCTTCCCTATCCCCCCAGAAAGATTCTTGATAGCTACAAAAACAATAAAACATGATCAATCCTTGACACTCCTTATCATTCTTTTCAATATTTTATGTAACATTCTCTAAAGTGTTCTATTTAAAAAGGTAGACCAATCAGGAATAGTGGTTAAGATGACCTACTGAAGGCATATTGTCTGAGATTAAATTCCCTGCGACCACGGGCATGTAACTTTGTTTGAATAACTCTATTTAATTTTACCAAGCCTAAGTTTCCTCACCTGCAAAATAGAGATAGCATACAGACTTTATCTGATTGCTCTGAAATTATACAAAAGAATATATATTTAAAGCACATGAAACACAGGACATGTCACATAGTAAGTGCTTAATAAACATAATTCATAGTGGTAGAATAATGCTTATGTTAATAAACATCACTCATGAAAAGGCTGTATCAAGTCAGAAGTAACATATACTATAAGTCATTCCTAAAAGATCTCCTCTGTAAATGGTATATTATATATAACAGCGGTCCTCTGGGCCATGAATAGTCCTGGCCCATGGCCTGTTAGGAGCTGAGCACAGAGCAGGAGGTGAGCAGCAGGTGAGGGAACATTATTGCCTAAGCTCTGCCTCCTGTCTGATTAGGAGCAGCATTAGATTCTCATAGCAGTGCGAACCTTATTGTGAACTGCATGTGTGAGGGATCTAGGTTTTGTGATCCTTATGAGAATCTAATGCCTGATGATCTGAGATGGAACAGTTTCATCCTAAAACCATTCCCCCCAACCCTGGGCTATGGGAAAATTGTCTTCCACAAAAGCAGTCTCTGGTGCCAAAAAGGTTGAGGACTGCTAATGTATAATATAAACTCAGGTAACATATATCAATATATTTGTGCTCAAGAGTAGAATATGGCCAGGCACGGTGGTTCACGCCTGTAATCCTAGCACTTTGGGAGGCTGAGGTGGGTGGATCACCTGAGGTCAGGAGTTCGAGACCAGCCTGGCCAACATGGAGAAACCCCATCTCTACTAAAAATACAAAAATTAGCCAGGTGTGGTGGTGCACACTTATAATTCCAGTTACTTGGGAGGCTGAGGCAGGAGAATCTGTGGAACCTGGGAGGCAGAGGTTGCAGTGAGCCAAGATCATGCCACTGCACTCCAGCCTGGGTGACAAAGCGAGGTTCTGTCTCAAAAAAAAAAAAAAAAAGAATAAAATATCTAGAAGGTTTGTAATTGTTTGCTACTAATATTATTACATAATATTTTATTGTATTGGCCAATATGAGTGATCAATAAATATTATCAAGCTGTAATACATTAGATGTAATCTCTTATCTAAAGATAAACATGAGAATGCTAGTTATATGCAATTTAATATATTAAATTCAAATCAAGCATTTATAATTCTAATGGGCTTTAAAGAAGAGACTCTACAAAGATAGATATCTTTGTCCAGAATTAAATTCCATGAGGACAAAACTTCCCATGATTTTGTTCCACAGAGCACTTTAAATGCCAATTAAAAGTTATAAAAAATATATTGTTTTCCTCTTTCCTGCATGAGAGTGGTAAAATTGTATCAGAGCTTTCAAGTCTCACTGGTCATGAAATGTTTAATGGAATTCAGATTTAGGAAGTTTTGTATACTTAAGGTACATTTAAAAATTAGTAGTCAAAATACTCCAATCATCCCTTCCACAAAACATCCCATAGGAGACCTTGGACCCAGAACAGTAAGGTTTTATTTTACAGATGAGGAAACTCAACCCAAAAAAACAAAAACAAAAGTCACACAACTTGTTAGTGGTGCAGCCATGATTATCTGTGGGTTTTCTTGACCCCTTCAGTCAGTGTTCTTTCCAAATTCTTAAATAGACTGCGAGTTTGACCTGGTATTACATTCTGATTTTTAATTGGCTTGTTTGTATTCTTACCACTAACTTAGCTGCCACATTTCCATACACGGCTGTGCCTCTCTCCCTTTTCTGCATTCTGTTTATTTCTTTTTTATTTTACATTATGCACTGTTAAATGAAGGGCCTTTTCAACTTCATAGCCCACAAAACCAATCATCTGAGAGCCACTGTTTATTGAAAATCTAGTGAAAAACCAAAACTGACACACCTATAAACCTCATCCCCTACTGAGAGGCAGAGAACTTAGCATCTCCTATGTCTTTATCATTTAGCGTGTACCTTCTGTCAACCTGCCATAAATATGTCTTGTAAAGTAAGAGTAATTTAACTTCAGGGGCCAGTTCAAACACCCTAACAATATTATATAGCAAATGGAAACAAAAGCTGTTCCTTGGAAGGAAAACAAATGTTGAAAAGCAATATGCACTTTTAGCTGTGGGGCTCCCACTGTTCCCAGTAAATCTTCTGTGGCCAAGATCCTGGACAAAGCTTTGAAAACACTGCTGACCTACAGTCACAGCTGTGTTTTAGTTCTTGCAAACAACGAATAGACAGTCCTCTTAAGTTGGGTGACTGTTCTTGGTTTGTAATTTTTCAGATTATGTATAACTAATCTAAAAATGAAAGATTTTAATTATATTAATTATATTTTTCTTACAGTTTGGTAAATGTTGTTGAAACAAACCAATAGCAACCAAGTTGCTGCACAGAAAAAATCCCATGTCTGCACTCCAGCCTGGGCGACAGAGCTAGACTCTGTCAAAAAAAAAAAAAAAAAAAAATCCCATGTCTACAGCTTAAGTTTTTAACAAAATAGCTGCTTTGACTACCAGGGACCTAAGTGACTGTCAGAGCAAGTAGAGATCTGATTGGGCTTCCAGCAATATAAGAATATCCTATAGTATATCAGACAACATTTGAAAACATTGCATTCTTTTTGGCAGCCTAATTGTACAGAAGTACATATTCATTTCAGTTGTCCCTGGAAATAGATTCTAAATGACCAAAACTGGCCTCTCTATCCATGCAGTTGCAATGAATTTAAAAAAAGGAGGAAAATTATTTAAAACCCAATTTGGGCTTCTTTTTTGTTTGTTTGTTTGTTTGCTCTTGTGCTTGGAAAGGTGAGAGAAGGTGGTGAGCAATAGGCACCCGTTGCTTTCTCCCTTGACTAAAAACATCTTTTCTCTCTCTTAGGTCAAAATAATACAGATGACTTCAGTATGTCAGCCCACGAAACTTTCAAAGAACTTTTTTCGCAGTGGCCTCCTGCATTTTATGAAGAGCAAGAAGCAACCGAGTTTAAATACATATACGTATTAACAAAACAAATGCAAAGCCTCTACATACAACACTGACACACATACACGCACACACACACACACGCACACACACACACGTGAGCACGCACACACCAATTCCACTTGACCTCCTCTTTCTAACTGAAACAGACAAATATGCAGGACACGCCCATCTTGGATTTCCTGAAAGCAGGCTCCTTTCTCCCAGGCCTTTGGAAAGTTCAAAAGGAGATGTGTTGATGCCCAACGGTTGCTGGCCATTGCTAACTCCTCTGCAGCCCAGCCGGTCGGCCTCTGTGAGCTGGGAAGTCATCCAAGGCACATTAGTTTGAGAGCTCTGTCTTCTGCACTCCACACATCTTGACAGCACCACGGCTACTTAGGCAATGTAATTGCAAAAACAAACAAAACATGTCATGATGACCTTGTACCCGAAGTCCGAAATGGCAGATTGTTTGCCCTAAAGGCTGTACCGTACATACTTGCCTTAACCCACCTATGTTGTGTGCCCAAGAATCTCAGTGCAGACAGCCCCAAGTCACTTCCTTTAGGCTAACACACTGCTATTAATTCTGAATGAGTTCAAGCCTGTGTGTTTCATGTCAAGGAACAAGACTGAATAGCTCAGCAGCTCCAGTGTGTCTGTATAAGAAAAGTGCCAGCTGTCAGCAAAGTGCTTTACCATAGAGCCTCCATGGTGGCCCAAAAGAGACAAGTAACAATAACAATATTTGTCATCTTTGTAATTCTAAAATATGGTCTTCTGATGGGGTTGGGGATGGGACAGAGTAAAACATTAATCTACTAAACTCACTAATCTACTGGAAGCAGAAAGCAGAAATGGCTTAACTCGCTGATTTTATTTATTGCACTCTAGGTGCTTTTATAAGTATCTACAATTGTCTTTTACTAACACAGAAACAGCTGTGGATTTCTATCAACAGAGGCCAACTGAATATGTATTAGCTATGTTTACTCTTTTATATCTAATTCAAATTGAAGACTCTACGTAGGTGAACTTTTTTTTCTAACTTCAGCGTACAAGATTATTTTTGGGTGGGTGGGGGGAGCAATAGTTACCTTGGTGAAATATTTGAGACCTTTTTGTGGTATTTGGGGGATCTGTTGTGTGTTAGAGTGTATTTCAATCCTCCTGTATTATTGTGGCAGAAAAAAAACTGTGCTGTTAACGTAGTTGGCAACAAGATGCCTTTGGAAACTTAATAGTAGGTCAATGTGTTTATGGAATATTCTGAACTCCTAGGAAATTTTGTTCTATATTTTAAAGCATTATTTGGTTTTCATTAGTGGAAAACATAATTAGCTCAGGCTTATCAGGAACTCAGATGAGTCGTATCTTTTCTTGGATACACCTGAGACATTAAACTCAATTTTTTGAAACTAACACACCATTCTTTAGTGCAGTGAAATTCAGAAGTTATAAATTGGCATGGAGCAAGTTTTTTCTTTGATTTCTATGAAGTTTCAGTTATTGGATTAAACTACTTTGGACCTTAGCCCATTCAGATCTACATACACCAGTTCCATTACTGTGTTTGCATGGATGTCTGTAATATACACACACAGAAACATTTGAAAATGATAGAGGAACAAAGAGTTATCATTGGAACATAAACTATAAAAAAAGATTCCAGCACTCATGCTTGAATTTCCTCAGTGGGTTGTATGTTTGTCCATACATACATGTATAAAATAAACAATTGCGAACATGTCAGTGAAACCTCATAAGACGCTTTTATAGTGACATGCATGTTTAATGTATGAGAAAAATATTTACCAATGTATTGTCCTTTGATTCCTAAAATATAAATACTATACATGCCACAAACTATTCTAATGTGACTTTTAATGTGACTATTAAAATGAGGTTTCACTGTACGTTCATGCTGTGGTGACATTTCACCTTACACTACATGTATATGGCTACAGAAAATAAGCCCTCATATTCCTGCTTTCAGTTACAGCCAAGTTTTCACCAAATCATGACTATCATCACCACCAAAATTTTAAAAAACAGTAGTTGACTACTAAAAAGTAATAGGTGGACAGGTCTTTTATGGGAGTAGTAAGCACAGTAGTGTGATTATATCTGGGAAAACATCTACAGTTGTACAGCTGTATCCTCCTCAAAATCCGGTGAAGAATGCTATTTTTCTAGGCTGAGCTTTTGTTATAAACCTAATATTCAGAAGGCAAGAGTTATGATCCTGATGTGTCCTTTTTTTTGCATTTGTTAATTCTGAATGTATTTTTAACAGAGTGATTTTTTTGACTTACTCGTGTAATTTGCATTTTAAAAATAAATGGAAAAATGCTTAAGTTTCTGAGCCATCCCTGAAAACCCCTGCTGCTTCTCATGGTGTATTTGCTTATGTCATTGACAGAGAAACTCTATTAAATGTACATGAAGGCAACACTGATATTTTGTGCAGTGCAGGGATATGTCAGCAGTGAAAAGAAATTGCCAGGTCATGGCATCATTTCTGCTCAGTCATAGGTAACATGTACTTTCATTATCTGCTAACACTGAGGGTTCTTTTAGAAGACTGCCTGCAATAGACTTGTCATTTGGAGAACTTTCCCCCACCCCACCTTCTATCTGGGATTTAGAGTTAGCGTCAAGCTAATAGTTGACAGAGGGTTAGGTCATTATTTTTTTAAATCTTGGTTAAATTATAGGCAGAGTTTTTCTTTTTATTTTTACAGGCCGAATTATTTAAAATAATCTAAAATACTCATTTATTTCCACTTTGATTACAGAATCTTTTGTTATTGTTATTCAAATATTGATATTCATCTCAATAGAAGACAGTATTGGGATAAAGCAGGCAAATAGAAAAGATTAGCCACTGGCATTAGTGATTGTACAAACAATGTTTCAGATGAGGTTGATTGTATGCACCAAAGAATTGAGGGCAGCAGGCGCAGGCTGCTCCAGGTGCAGGCTGTGTCAGGTTCAGAATTATGTCCTTTCTCCCACTGCACACAGACACACACCAGCTCCCATCAGTCAAAATGCTGGAGCTGACTGAAGACACGAAAGGCTTCGAGGCCATATTTTAAGAAGCTGAAGATCAACTTGTAGTCCTTGACGTCTCAGCTGCATGGTGAAAGCCTTGTAAATGATCAAGCTGGCTTTTACTTTTGTCCCCTGTGTAAAAAGTATACTGATATGGTGTTCATTGAAGTCACTGTGAATAACTGTCAGGATGTTTCTTCACACTGTGATGTGAAATGCACACAACAATGTAGTTGCATAAAAAGGACAAAACTGATAGATCAACTATATGTATATATACTGTAAAGAAAGGATTCTTTCTTCTGGAGTTCTCAATTAAATAGATCGTGAGTTTGGTAAAATCCTGTGGAACCAGGATCTGCATCTGTTAACTGTTAAAAAATATAACCTCTGATACATTTCACTCTGCTATACATCTGATACATTTCACTCTACTATAATGAGTAGACCATTTTAATTCAGAAATACAAACTCATTTTAAACAGGTCACATTTTAGAACAAACTTTTGAGATCCAAACCAATTCATAATTCAAACCCATAAAATAAAACCTACTAAGGCAGTTAAGGAACTATTCAATATCAGCTTGTGTCCTGAAAATGCAAATAACTCATCATTGCACAGCAAATTTTAGGATGTATACTCTGGTCAGAATAGAATAAAACAAATCCCGGACTCTATCAACTGACCCTGAGTTTTATAAATTCAAATAAACTTTGATAAGGAAGGCCCTAAAACAGTATTAAATCATAAAATATTTCTGAATTATTATGTATCAGGTTCAGTGTAGTATCAATGTTAAATATATTTTATTATATCATAGTTTTTAAAAACATAATCCAAATTAATATGCAAACATGTAGATATGATGTGTTCTTATACATTAGTAAGACACTTATGTGTTCAATTTCAGGGCTATATGTTTTTCTGTTATTTCATTTACAGTACACTTAGATGTAACTAATACCAGAGAGATTAAGATTACATAAGCAGTCTCGTGTTGACTATTTTCAGTACTCTTCAAGAAAATATTTCTTCAGATGTTTCATCTGTCTTTGGTAAAATTTTAGCACTCAACACTTGTACTTAGGAAGCTTTTACATGAATATCCTTACATTGTAAAATTCCAATTATTCTTGTCACATGCAAATCTTTGCTTAGGATCCATTGCCCGATGCTCCTTTCCTTTTATTTATGCCTATCTTCCACCTACTCCAAGAAAGGAAAGAACAAAGTCTGTGATTAATACACAATGTCCAGTTTACAATATGCAAGCATCTTGAAACAATTCTGATGGTTGTGAGGGCCAAATGCATAAAACATACATGTATTTTATGACTTTAAATTCAACAAAACTTGAACTAGATAATACATTCAAGGATCACATCTCCCACTGAAATCTGCACAATGTTAGGAGACATGACTACCCACAACAGCAAAAAGGACAAGCTGAGTTCCTCCTAAAAGGGATAAAGGCAGATTTTTATAATGACGGTTATTTTTTAAAAATCCTTAATTATTACGGAGTTTAGAAGCAAACGCGCTTAAAATTTTAAAATAATAAAAGTTAATTTCTGTAAGACAAATTCAGAGAGAAAAAATCCTTTTACAAACCACATGTTGATGCTCTTACTCGTTCTAAATTGTTATTAAAATTAATGTGAGCATTTTCTATAATGAAAGTACCTTCATAATGTGACACCTTAATAATAAAACAGGTATATTTTAACTACTTATTCTATGAATTTAAACTGTATTGGAAAGGAATAAAACAACTCCCAAAAAAGATTGCAAATTTGGTGCCGTCACCCCAAGGATGATGGATTGATTCAATTAACCAGTAAGTCTTTTCTAAGAGTCCTTCAGGGAGTTATTTACCAGAGGCATACCTTGTTTATTCCCTTCCATGAGCCTATCATTTTTCTTCATTATTCTTCTAGTTTTACTTATCATATCATCTGGGGATATGCTGATCTTCATGTACAGAAGGTTTTGCACACAGCTGTCCAGACATACGTCTTCCAGACTTCAAACTGGAGGCCACCAGAACACCTGAGCCTCTTGTCGTTGTTTACTCAGGCTGACCAAGATACGCTCAGGATGAAGTCAAATAGCTAGACTTACAAACTGGAAATCAATGGGAAAGTATCAAATTGAAGGAAAGCTATGAAAAATTATTCTTAAAAGTAGTAACCTTGTGTTCCACACATCGTGGAACTGGCTTCACCATAGATGACCTCCTTATCTCCAAAAGCAGGAAGGTAGGAGGAACAGATGGCCGAGAGGCCAGGACCCATGCTAATAATTCATGGTAAAACAAAAACACATTCAGTGTTTGTGTTGTTCTGGATATTGAAAGAGAAATAAATAATCTGAAACAGGAAACATTTTTGTTTCTAATGGGCCAAATCACCTGTCAGTTTAAGTTGCAAAGAGTAAGGATTCCAGCCGGGTGCGGTTGCTCACGCCTGTAATCCCAGCACTTTGGGAGGCCGAGGCGGGCGGATCACGAGGTCAGGAGATCCAGACCATCCTGGCTAACACGGTGAAACCCCGTCTCTACCAAAAACACAAAAAATTAACCGGGCGTGGTGGCGGGCGCCTGTAGTCCCAGCTACTCGGGAGTCTGAGGCAGGAGAATGGCGTGAACCCAGGAGGCGGAGCTTGCAGTGAGCCAGGATCTCGCCACTGCACCCCAGGCTGGGCGACAGAGTGAGACTCCATCTCAAAAAAAAAAAAAAAAAGTAAGGATTCCATCTCATACCTGTTGTCAAATGGTTGTTATCAAAAAGATGAAAGATAGGTGTTGGCAAGTATGCAGAGGAAAGGGAACCCTTGTGCACTGTTGGTGGAAATGTAAATTACTGCAGCTATTATGAAAAATGGTATGGAGTTCCTCCAAAAATCAAAAATAGGACTACTATATGATCCAGCAATTCCATTACTGGGTATATATCCAGAGGAAATGAAATCATCCTGTCAAAGAGATCTCTACACTCCCATGCTCATTGCAACATTATTCACAATAGCCAAGATACAGAATCAACCAAAGTATCCATCAAGGGATAAGTGGATCAAGAAAATGTGGTATGTATGTGTGTATATATATATAAAATATATGCCTGCAATGGAATACTATTCAAGCCTTGCAAAAGAAGGAAATCCTGTCATTTAAAGCAATGTGGATGAGCCTAAAGGACATTATGTTAAATGAAGTAAACCAGACACAAAAAGACATAGACTGTATAATCTCACTTATGTGTGGAACCTAAAGAGGCTGAATTCATAGAAGCAGTGAGTAGAATGGTGGTTACCGGAGGCTCAGGGTGGGGAGGATTAGAGGTAATGGTCAAAGGATACAAAATTTCAGTTAGACAGCAGGAATAAGTTCAAGAGATCCTTGTACAACTTGGTAACTGTACTTATTAGTAGCAATGCACTGAATACTTGAAGTTGTCTAAGAGAATGGATTTTAAGTGTTCTGACCACAAAAAAAAAGAGAAACGTGAGGTAATAGATATGTTAATTAGCTAGAATTAGCTATTCAACAATATATACTTATATCAAAACATTATGTTGTACCCATAAATACATGCCATTTTTATTTTTCATCTACAGAATAGTAAGGATTCAAGGAGAAATCTTCTGGAGATGAACTTCTTTACTAAATCTTGCTGTCCAGCACTAGCTACGTAGTTTGCCGGGCCCAGTGAACAATGAAAACGGGCCTTTCATTCAAAGGGTAGGAAGAACATGCTGCCAAAGGTACTAAAGTATAAAACATTTTCCTTTAACAATATTTTCTTACTTATGAAGTATAACAAGGGTAGTAATAATATATGAGTAACAATATATAATTATAAAATATAAAAAGAATGTGTCATAATTGCATATAATATAATAAACATACTTTATTAATGGGACTTCTCAATGATTATAAGATTTTCCTGACTCACATTTCTGCAACTTCATTGATTAAATCATAAAAATGTAAACTTTTAGCCAGCTCATTTTCAATCAATACAATTGAAAAAGATGTCAGCCATTCTTGCAAATGCATTGCAATTTCTTGTGCTTTTTAATTTTAAGAAGAATCTTTTTGCTGACCCAACTGTTGCTGGAGCTATTATGAATATTTTACAGACTGTGAAAATATTGGGATACATTTCTGATACATTACTTTGAAAATAATTAGGTAAATAATTTTGAAAGATAAATTTGGCTGGGCACGAGGCAACCGGATCACTTGAGTCCACGAGTTTGAGACCAGCCTGGCCAACATGGTGAAACCCCGTCTCTAC